AACTCGGAGGAGGCTGTGCCTGGGATAGGAGAATCCCAGCGGTGCAGCCCTCACCCCTGCCCACAATAATGCTGGGAACCACTTGCTACTTCCGGCTGCCTGGGACCCACTGGAAGAGGAACCATTGTTTAGCTTGGAGCTTGGCCCCTTTCCTACCACCCAATCCTTCTCCCCATTGTCCTTAGTCCTCTCCTCAGGATGCAGCTGCCAGCACAACAGCAAAAGGAATGGGGAAGGGGCTGGGGGAGCAGATGAGGCCATCCCAGAAGGAAGATTCTTCAGTTCTAGAAAAAGGCCCTGTACTGTGGGCTCCATCAGCGTGGTGCAGGGCACTGGACACAGAACTAGGCTTCAGAGGCAGACAGATTCCAACTCAAGCCCCAGCATCTGCCATTGAAGTCCTGAGTGTCCCTGGGCAAGCTTCTTGCAATCTCTGAGCATCCATTTCCTACTCAATTAGAGCAAGGATAAAACACTGGCCTGGTGAAGATTGGCTTGGTATAGTGAGGACCAAAGACAAAATGCTTGATACCTAAGTATTTTTAAATGTTCTTTCTGTTCCTTCCCTCCTCTTTAACCATAGCGAAACACCAAGAAAGATGATGGCAAATAGTTCTTAAAGCAGATGAAAGCAGTCTTTTCTATTAGGTAAATAAAGACATATCATCAAAATTATATTTAATAAGTTTGTAATAAATCACATTTAGTAATTAATTGTATTAATAGGGCAGCTGACACTTATTGAGCACTAACTATGAGTCAGGCACATTCCCTCTTCACAGCTACTCTGTGAGCTAGATATTGTCAGGGCCAGGGCCAGGGTGTGCAACCAGCACAGTTGCACAGAACCCCCCACTCAGAAGGGTGTCCCTGCATGAAGATTTAATGTTCTGTGGTTGCCATCTTGAATTTTGTAATAATTTTATTTCTGAATTTGTGTTTTGTAAATGAAGTCCATGAAACAATAGAGCATGCACTGGGGACCTGGAGTCTCAGCTCACAGGTCATTCTGTCTCACATCACCTCTACACCCTCCTCTCCCAAAATGGGTTTTCACCTGCCTGTTTCCCTGTCCTTCTATCCCAGGCAGGGGTCTGGGTGCAGGGAGGGGATGCACACCAAGTCAGAGGCCTCTGAGATGATCCCATGCCCAAGGGAGCATAATATTCATTAGTGAATAATAAACAGCATGCCAGGTTGAGTCAGGAATTACAAAAGAAAGAGAAATATTCTTTCTGCTTTTTAACAAAGGACCTTGCATTTTCCTTTGCGTTGGGCCCCACAAATTATATAGCCAGTCCAGCAGAGAGGGCAGGATCTGGCGGACCAGAAGTCATTGCAGTTGGCCAATGCATCTGTGGCCTGCCTCACTCCTGTGATTTCCTCAGCTCCTGGATCCCCGTTGTAGTGCAGTGGCCAGTAAGACAGAAGAACTCATTTAAACTTTTTTATTTAATGTTGATGAAGTTAAATGTAAATTTAAATTGCCGTATATAGCTAGTGGCTACTGTATTAGATTGCACAGCTCTAGAACCAAAAGGAGACAATAAAAGCAATAACTGCACCATGATTTGGGGCTTCAGAAGCACTTTCTCAAGTGTCTTCTCATTTGTCTGTCCTGTGAAATAGGTGTTATCCCTGTTTGTTCAGAGGAAAAATTGAAGCCCAGAAAATTTAAATGGTTTCCATGCTGACAGAGATAATATTAGAAGCATGATTTAATTCCAGATCTCGTGATTCCAACTCCACTCATACTTCTGTACAACTCTGCTATCTTATGTAAGTATTCATCACATACTTATCAGTTCATTGTTACTAAATGCCTGCCTCTGGGCTAGACACAGAAAGATAAATAAGACACACTGGCTTTGGGTGTGTCTCCCTGAATAAACAGTACAAATGGCACAATAAGAAAGAGCAGGTAATTGCCATAAAAAAAAAAATTACTTTAAGCCCGGCCTGCGTGGCTCAGTGGTTGAGCGTTGAGCTATGAACCAGGAGGTCATGTTTTAATTCCTGGTCAGGGCACATGCTGGGGTTGTGGTCTCGATCCCCAGTGTAAGGCATGCAGGAGGCAGCCAATCAATGATTCGCTCTCATTATTGATGTTTCTATCTCTCTCTCTCCCTTCCACTCTGAAATCAATAAAAATATATTTTTAGCCCTAACCAGTTTTGCTCAGTGGATAGAGCATCAACCTGCTGACTGAAAGGTCCCAGGTTTCTTCCCAGTAGGAGGTGTGCAGGAAGCAGCTGATCGATGTGTCTCTCTCATCGATGTTTCTAACTCTCTTTCTCTCTCTGTAAAAAAAACAACAATAAAATATATTTTTAAATATATATAAAGATTACTTTAAGTTACTTTCTTCCAATTAGTTCAAAGCACTTTGCTTTAAAAACTATCTATATCTGATATTCTCAGGTTTGCATTTCAGGCCCCAACCTCTGCACCAAATTCTAAATGGATATACCAAAAAAAGCCATTTAAATATTGAATTGGCTTCTCAAACTTGCCCCACACCTCCTCTTGATAATCTCAGTAAATGGCAATTCCCTTCTTCCAGTTGTTCCACCCTCAAACTCTGAAGTCCTCCATTACTCCTCTTTCTTCACACCTTTCATCTAATCCATGAGTAAATATTATTAGTTCTACCTTCAAGAAGCATCCAGTATGCTCACCATCTCATTATTGGCACCCTAGTCATCATCATCTCTATCTGGACTGGTTTCCTTTGTCCCACCCCTTTTCCCAATTCTCTTTTCCACTCAGTATGCCAGAGTGATCTTTTAAAAATCTGATCCAAAGTATGCCTACTTTCAGCTTAAAGCACCAATGCTTTTCCAAAGTCTACACCACCATGCATAAGGCCCCTCACAATCTGGCCCCCGATCTCATTTCCCACCTCTCTCCTCTGCTCTTCAGGTCCAGCCACACCAGGTTTTCCAGGTCACTCCTTCCTCCCGGGCATTGCATAACTCATTCTTCCATTTCCTCCCAGTTTTAACCCAATGTCCCCTAATCACAGAGGCACTTCCCACCCCCTATGTTTCAATTTTTTCATAACACTTATCACCTCTTGACATTTAATATGCATGTCTGTTGTTGCTCTCCTCCCATCAGAATATTAGCTGCAGAAATATGATTAGCAGTTAAATACAGGATAGCAATTAAATTTGAATTTCAGATAAAAAACTAAGTGTTCAGTTTGAAAATGTCCCAGAAACCGTAGGGGACATACAATAAAAAAAACTATTAGTTGTTTATCTGAAATTCAAACCTTACTGAGTGTCCTGTATGTATTTTTAGGGAGGGACAGTAGTTGTTTTGCTCATCGCTGTATCTCCAGCGCCAGAACTGCTCATGACACATGGCAATATTTATGAAATGAATAACTGTGTTCAATTGGGTCATAAACAGTCAGAGGTGCGGTGCCTCCAGACTAAGTTTATAAGTTCAGTTCGATAAACTTAAAAAAAATACATTTTTATTGATTTCAGAGAGTAAGGAGAGAGAGATAGAAATATCAATAATGAGAGAGGATCATAGGTCTACTGCCTCCTGCATGCCCCCTACTAGGGATCGAGCCCGCAACCCCGGCATATAGCTCGAACCCGAGACCCTTCAGTTCGCAGGCTGACCCTCTATCCACGAAACCAAACGGGATGGAGCAGCTGCATAAACTTCCCACGCAAGTCAAGCACCTAGGTGCTTCGGTAGACCACACGCCGAACCCTCAGGAAACAACACTCTCCCCCAGATCAGGTGGGCTCACGCCCCTGTGGGGGCGGGGCCTCCCCACCGGGGCGGGGCCTCTCTACCAGGGGACGGGGCCTCCCCATCATGGGCGGGACTTCCCCACCAGAAGCGGGGCCTCCCACCAGGGGGCGGGGCCTCCCCACCCCGGGGGCGGGCCCATCCCTCGTAGGTGCCAGGGCCCTTTAACGCCCCGCCTCCCATCTCTACTAGCGCCTGTGGTGTGACGTCACCAGGAAGACGGCCAATGGAAACGCGGCTTACTGGCAGGCGGCGCTGGCAGTTGCTGCCAAGAGGAAGTGAGCTGGAGCTGGAGCCGGAGCGATGGCCCGGGGTTGGAACCCGCAGCAGCCTCCGCCGCCACCTGCGCGTCGGGAACAGCCGCGGCCGCAGCCGGAGCGGGGGCCGGAGTCGCGGACGGAGCGAAGGAGGCGCTTGTGAGTTGCCAAGAGTCACCAGGGCCGGAACACCTCACACTCCGGGCGGGAGCTCTTCAGGTGGGCAGAGCTGCTGTCGCCCTTGCACCGCACCGTGCCCCCAGGCCCAGACAGCGGGGCTGGGTCTCCCGGGCGTTGGGCTGGCTCCTAAAAGGCCGAGCCCTCCGAACCGGCCTCTGGGTTTTCCTCGGCCTTGGACTTCCTTCAAACTACGGCCAGAGGTCGGAGGACAGCACCGCCGACCCGGACATTTGCTTGTCTCCCCGACTGTCCGGACTGTAGCAACTGGGAGCCCTTCCTGCTGCCCCCTCTCCAGATAAGGAAGGACGAGCGCGTTCCCGCTGTCTGGTTGTGCGCCTCTCCCTTCCCTCCCATTCAAGAACAAGTTTCTCTTCTCTCGTCATTGGAAATCCTGCCCGGAAGCCCAAAGCCCCCGTCTGTGTGCCCTTCCCCAACTCTTTGAGCACCCTTAGAAGAAACATTATCTACTTGTCAGGGCTGAGAGTCGCTCGTTCTTGACTTGGTTTTTATCCTTTTGACTGACACTTCATGCCCAGGACCTTTTGGATCTCCAGCTCCCTGGCCCTATCTATGTGACTTTCCCCCACCCATCAGTTCCAATTTCCTTTGGGCTACAATCCCCAGCTCCCGGCGGATCTGGTCAGTCCCACCCTTGGGTGGGAGTGACCAGGGGGCTCTGGCCCAGGATCCCCCACCCTGGAAGGCAACTCCAAGGTACCAAGAGAGCTGGGCCTCGGGTACGAACCTGGCAGCTCAGGAGTGGGTGCTCCACTCACCCCACACAAGAAGATGAAAAAGCGCAAAGAGCTCAATGCATTGATTGGCTTGTCTGGGGATAGCCGGAGGAAGAAGCCCAAGAAAGGCTCAGGCCACCGCCTGCTTCGCACTGAGCCTCCTGCTTCAGGCTCCGAGTCCAGCTCCGAGGAGGAAGAGGAATTTGGTGTAGATGGAAATCGCTCTTGCTTTGTCAAGTGAGTGATGCAGTGGTGAGGGGTGGGATGGCGGAAAGACCAAGGGGGCATATTGAAGAGAAGGAGAGGGGAGTTCTTAGGGGGGGGGAAATCAATCGGTGTAGTCCTTGGAAGGCAAAGAGGGTTCTCAATGAAGGACAAGTTAGAGAGTTGTCTGTAAGTGTACAAGGAAAAGTGCTCTAAATCTAGGGTGGAAGTGTGGATGTGGGGAATATGCCCGGAGCCCAGGAACAACAAGTCAGGAGTAGCAAAGAAGCTAAGAATAAGAACATAGGAGCAGACAAGCTTTTGGAAGTAGCCGTTTTTAAAGGTCTCCAGAAATGGGGACCTTAAGACTGTAAATTATTATATATATGAGGCTAAATCTTGGTGATGGAAGAATTTGTTGAGGGACATACTGTATGAGCCCTGAGAGTAATGGAGCATGGAGGACAACATGAAGAAGCAGCTTTTTCCCAAACCACTTTCAAATGGTGCAGCCATTAGACCAGTGGTCAGCAAACTCATTAGTTAACAGAGCCAAATATCAACAGTACAACGATTGAAATTTCTTTTGAAAACCAATTTTTTTTTAAAGATTTTCTATTTCTTTTTTTTTCTTTTCTTTTTTTTAAAATATATTTTATTGATTTTACACAGAGAGGAATTGAGAGGGACAGAGAGTTAGAAATGTCGATGAGAGAGAAACATCGACCAGCTGCCTCTTGCACACACCCCCACTGGGGATGTGCCCGCAACCAACGTACATGCCCTTGACCGGAATCGAACCCGGGACCTTTCAGTCTGCAGGCCGATGCTCTATCCACTGAGCCAAACCAGTCCTGGCTTGAAAGCCAAATTTTTTAAACTTAAACTATATAAGTAGGTACTTTTATTTAATTTTTTTAAAGACTTTTTTTTTAATTTTGATTTTTTACAGAAAGGAAGAGAGAGGGATAGAGAATTAGAAACATGGATGAGAGAAACATCCATCAGCTGTCTGTTGCACACCCCCTACTGGGGAAACATCCATCAGCTGCCTCTTGCACACCTCCTACTGGGGATGTGCCCGCAACCAAAGTATATGCCCTTGACCGGAATCGAACCCGGGACCTTTCAGTCTGTAGGCCTACGCTCTATCCACTAAGCCAAACCGGTTTTGGCAAGGTACATTGTTATTAACTTAATTAGTATACATGGTATTTTGTGGAAGAGCCACACTCAAGGGGCCAAAGAGCCGCATGTGGCTCGAGAGCCGAGGTTTGCCGACCACTGCACTAGACGAACTCAGTAGTGAGTACTGAGGACATTGGGAATTAGGACTCAGGGTTGGGAGAGGGCTGGAGGGAACCTAGAAGGTGCCTTGGACCCTCTCAGGGACTACATTAAAAGAAAAGATATTCTGCTGAGCATGTGGAAGCAAGGGCTAGGCAGAAGGTTGGGGTGTTAAAAGAGTCCTTTGAGTTTGTTTAGAGTTTCTTTGTCCTATTTTGTGAAAGGAAGGATTTGGCTTCTAATGAGCTTTGCCAGGTTAGGTATTTAAGGACAACCCTATGTTTGGGTTGTGAAGATCTGATGAAATGGAATAGCTCAACTGGAATAGTACCCTTTGGGTTAGTTTAGACCTAAGTGTTGGTTGAAATTTGGTGTGAAATCTCCTTTCTATGCTTCCTTCTAAGCCAATAGCTAGTGTACCAGGTGTCCACTTCACCCTACAATTCCTGTTTCTTTCATTCAAACTTGCTCAAAAGTTTATGAAGTTTCAATAAACTGAATCAGGGTCCCCTGGACTGAGCATGTATTTGACAGAGACAGGTAGGTAAATTACAGTGCAGTGATGGAATTGCAGAGAAGCCCAGGTTTAGGCACTTTCCTAACCTGAGATTGTTTCCAAAGGCTTGAATTGGTAGTGATTGCAATGAACTGCAGCTCCCACAGGTGCTTCCTGAGGCCCACGGGAAGTCCCTCTGTTTCATGTGAAGTTTTAAACTTTTTTGTACCGAATAGATGACCTCTTCATAGGTCATATTACTTAGTTATTTTCAACTTGCTATTCAGATTTAACTATGTTACTTGGTAGTCCCTGATAAATCAACTGCTTATTCATTTAAAAACATACTTGCATAGCAATACAGGAATGCTATTTCTAATAAAGCTGTGCTCATAATCACCCTTGTATTCCTGGTTGAATTTGTTCTTGTGATCAGGGGAAACTATTTACGATGCTGCAAGATCTGTTATCCCCTCTGTGCTTTTGTCATCCTTGCCGCCTGTGTCGTGGCCTGCGTGGGCTTGGTGTGGATGCAAGTTGCCCTGAAGGAGGATCTGGATACCCTCAAGGAAAAATTTAGAACAAGTAAGTGGTCGCATATTTCAGAATATAATCTTGGATTCTTTTCTGGGATCTAGGACAAAGTGGATCATGCTGAATTAAGGGTTTGCCCACTGGTAAAGCAATTATACATTATACATTTTTTCCCAGTATTTTTCTATTCTTTCTTAGATGTCAGCTTCAATGTAGTAACAGTTATTTGTCTTAAACACAAACAAAAAAAACAGTGCTTGTACACCATCAGCACAAATTACATCTGAAAAATGGCATTTTAATCAACACTTAGGGCACAAAAGGGAAGCTAAGGTCCAGTAGTCTAAAAGGTTGGTTAACCTCCACCTGTTGCCACTTTATACTTTCTCAGTGCACTGGGCTATTTCCTTCTTCCTCATAAGCCCTTGAGAAAAATTTCCTCCTTAAAAATGACATAAGAACATAGGAATGGGCAATAATAGCAGCCAACATTTATGAAGTGCTTACTGTGTACCAAGTCACAAATAAATATTTCTCATGAGTGGGTTTCAAAGTGTAAGAGACTTTCTTAAGTTATGGAATTTTATATATTCTAAATTATGAAGTTATATTTTGCATATGCAAAGTACTTTTTCTGAAAAATGGGTTTGCATGCTGGCTTCTACCAGATTTAACTTAAATATCTTCCTTTACCAACACTGAAATCTTCATTTCTCAGTTTCAAAGGTTAATTTTCTAAGCTAAGGAATCAGTTCCAAGTTAATCACAAATTCACTAACCTTAACAGCATTTGTACATCAGGACACTGACCACCAGGCTTTCCTAAGATCTTAAAGAAATCTGGCCCCAGAACTGGAATTAGAGATGCTAACTTACTTTCCTTAGGAAAGTAAGCCTTAGGAAATCACAACATCCTAGTTTTCCTTCACTCCAACTTCTCTTGGCTGCCTGCAGTTATTGAAGTTCTGAACCTGATCTAGGGACAACTAATCCTTAGTGCGTTGATGACATTCCTAGTGATGTTGCTTGAAAAAAAAAAAAAAGGCTCAACTATTAACTTTGGTTTTCTTAAAAGTTTCTGATTTAGGGAATGGCCTTGGTAAGTCATTCTCTGCCAGAATCATACTGACTTACATGTTTTATCAACTAGTGAAATCAGTATAGTGTAAAAAAGAATGAGATTTGTATTCTCCTCCTTAATAGTTGTCCTTAGCCGAATTGCAAGGTGTTTCTAAGGCCAGTGTTTTCTTTGTAAGGAGTAATCATTACTTGGAAATGAAGTTTTCAGAAACAGTGTTTACATGTAAACAGCCAGTGAAGACACCTGCCTGTACCATCATCTCCTTAATTAGTTGGACTTCTTGGGTTTGTGCTACAGCCTGTTTTGATCACATGTAGCAATTGTTTATTTATACATTTCAAAACATTGCTCAATTCTACCTCTCCAATTCTTTCTCTGACTCCTCTGTGCCTGTGTTTACAGAACATCCAAGTAATTTATGCCTTTGTCAGCGAATTTCTTTGTCTAGAAATACAGTTAAAGTTTATGTGTAATAGATCTGGCAATCAACAAGTCAACAAATATTTATTGAGCACTTGTTAATCCCAATTCCTGGAAATATTATATTCAGGGGAGTCCAAAAATTGTACTCTGGACTATGAGACACAATTTATATAATTGAGCAACATTCCCCTGAGACCCTGACTATAATACATTTATCAGGCCCCTGAATAAAGCAGATTTAGAATTGTCAGTCCAACTGCATTGTTGACTTTGGTTTGCTACAATAGAAATGCCAGCACCTATAATATCTAAAGCAGGACTTCCTGAGGGATAGGGGCTGGTCCCTAGGGCATGTTGTCAGTCTGTGGGCTAAGCCATTGTGAACCACTTGCCCAAGAATTTTTGTTGTTATTTTGTTTTGTTTTAATCCTCACCCAAGGATATTTTTTCCATTGATTTTTAGAGGAAGAGACAGAAATACCAATGTGAAAGAAACACATTGCCAAAACCAGTTTGGCTCAGCGGTAGAGCATCGGTCTGTGGACTGAAGGGTCCCTGGTTCGATTCCGGTCAAGGGCATGTGCATTGGTTGCGGGCACATCCCCGGTAGGGGGTGTGCAAGAGGCAGCTTGTCGATGTTTCTCTCTCATTGACGTTTCTAGCTCTCTGTCTCTCTCCCTTCTTCTCTGTAAGAAAAATCAATAAAATATACTTACAAGAAAGAAAGAAACACATTGATTGGTTGCCTCCTGCACATACCCGGACTAGGGCCTGGGCCTGGGCCTGGGCCCACCCTTTGGTCCTCAGGCCGATGCTCTATCCACTGAACCAAACTGGCTAGGGTCCGAGAGTTTTTTTGTGAAAACATACCTTGAGGTCAATGAGGTCAATCTTGTAAAGCTTAAATAATCTTTCCTGAATTCTGCTTTAAATATATTTCAACAAGTTAATTTATACCTCTTGGTTTTCAGGAAAACAGTGAAGTCATTGACTTAAATAAGATCATCTGCTTTAATACTTTTCTGAAAAATTCAGAGCCCATTGTTTTTTATTTCAATAAATTTTCCAAGATGCTTGTGAGGAAAGGAAGTAAGGTTGCTGAAATAGAAAGCAAAGCAGAGAGGCTTCGTTGTTTTTTATCTTGTATTCAAGGAGTAACTTGATCCTTAAGCTGAAAGTACTGGCTGTCCTTAACTCTTAGCTCAGTATTCCAGGTACTCCAGAAGACCTCAACAGTTATTCTAAGGAACATCTATTTCTAACCATCCCTCTTTGTCACTCAACTATGGAACACTAGAATAATAGAAAAAAGAATTTGGAAAAGAAGGAAAGTATTAATGAATTAAGCATCTCCTCTTTCAGGCAGAATAGCAGTGTGGTCATTTAATACAGAACCTAAAAAAATGATCTTGTGATAATGAGGGTATTAAGATGTACATATTTATGGTACCTGGAGTATACTAGAAAGAGTGCTGGTACTAGGAGTAAAAGGTTTGACTGTTGAATCCTGGCTTGCTCATTACTAACTGTTAAAAACTTGGACAAGTCTCTTATTCTTTCTGAGCCTTCACTTCCCATCCATAAAACATTTTTAAAGTATATGTATAATAGACCTGGCAGTCAAGTCAACAAACAAGATGTATTCATGCTATCAAAGCACTTTGAGCATTTCTCTGTCATAGCGTATGTAACACCATATAGTAACTGTGACAGTGCCTCATGCCTCACTTCCTGCTGAACTGAGAACTTCATGGTCTTTTTATGCACTAGCACTGAGTGCAAGGCTGGGCACATGGTAGGCACTCAATAACAAATTTAATAGTTACATAAAAGTTTATTGCAAACTATAAAGACATAAAAAATTGCTATCAGCTTTATATGTTCTGTCTGAAGGATGTTTGCAGAAATCTCCATTTTTTGATCTTGAATATCTCAGGAAGAGAGCTAAGTAAGTTTGAGTCTTAATATACTAAATTTTAAATGAGTGTTTTCCATGTTGAAAGTACATGAATAAGTAATCATTAGTTGTTTGCTACTCTTCCTCCTGTTTGTGGAGTTAGAGTGCCTTGACTTTACTTGTTTCTCCTACAGGGCCCCAAATCAGATAGTGTATATGATCCCTTCTCGGCTCATACAATCCTCAGCATCCAGAGTGTGGTCAGGGCTTATCAGTTTTATATATTTATTAGTTAATAATTGTAACCCAATTTATTTATGTGTTTATCTTCCACTTCTGCCTTCTACTTAATTTGTATAGACTGCAGGAAAGAGAGAGACTCCCCCTCTCCCTTCTTCACACACACACTCTTGGGATGTTGGACCACTTGAGAATGGCAGAAAGTAACTCAGGATGAGTTACTTTGCAACCTCACTGAAAATGTAAACTAAATTTACTGAAATGCTAAGTGTTGCATAATTTAGACTGGTAAAATGTCTTTATTGTATGAGATGGATGTGTAGTCCTACAAACCATGTGTAAACCAAATGTTACATTAAAAGTTTTTAGAGAAACACACACACACACACACATACACACACACACACACAAAGAAATTCTTCAGTGTATATTTTGAAAGATGAATAAAATACTGATTTCTTTAAATAATTCTGAATTTTCATATAGTGGGCTTTGCTGTAGTAGGGACACCACTAGCCAGTTTTTCTCTTCTTATTTGTGTTCTTTATGATTTTTAGTTGTTGTGTGTGTTTGTTGAGTTTTCTTTGTTTGACTTAATAGGCTAGCATTATCTCCATTTCATACCCTACAATTATTTTACTGGAAAAGTATTTAAGTTCTGTGTACTTGGCACTGCTAGGCCCTGGGAATATATGACTAATATAATTTGGTCCCTGTCCTCTTACAGCTCTCTCAGTCTGTATACTTGTATAGCTATATACTTGTCTGTCTCAGTCAGGAGACAGACAAGTATATAGCTACAGCACAGTGTATATTAAATGCTAGGAATGATAAAAGGTGGCTGTGGTCCAAGGTGGGGGGGGTGCAGCTATTTGTGCTGAATCTTGAAAGTAATTAACTAGGCTAGGGTGGCAGAAATGAAAAGGGCAAGTTAAAGGCATCTAGGCAGAAAGAATAGAGTGTGCAGGGTCATTGAGACTTAAAGAGGTTGATATATCAGGAAAATCTGCGAGGCTAAGAAGTAGATTAAAGAGATTGGTAAAGTAATGAGAAGTGTGGTTGGGGAGGTAAGCAAAGGCCAGATTTATTCAGTAATACTGAGTGCCAGGTATATTCTAAGTGCTAACCATGCAGAATGTCTTAGTACTTACATTTTATTAAATTGTCTTATATCTGTCCTGCGTGCCAGTTTTTTGTTTCAAAGAAAGTATATACCCTGTTTCCCCGAAAATAAGACAGTGTCTTATATTAATTTTTTCTCCCAAAGTTGCGCTAGGTCTTATTTTCAGGGGATGGCTTATCTTTCCATGCGCTATGTCTTATTTTCGGGGAAACACGGTAATAACTAATTTGGCACTAACTAACTAATTTTTGTGCTTTAAAAAAAAAAAAAGTAGGTTGTATTCTGGAGGACCAGTCATTATATATTTTCCATGTAAAGGAAAAATACTCTTCAAAATAACAAGAGAAAGTACTCTTGCAAGCCTCTGCCTTCAAGCTGATAAATCTCTAAACCATTCAGGAGATATTATTTCCCAAAGGAAAGGCCAAATATCAGCTATACTTAGCTAACATGTTCCTTTATCTTCCGTTACTTTTACTTTGAGCTTTTGGGTGGATTTAAGAAAACACCTTGCTGTTTATGAAAAAGATGTAAAAATCTTAGTCCTTGTAACGGTACTTTAAAGGGGGTAAGAACCTACCTTGCATTAGACCAATATGAAATAGAGAAAAGTAGACTTAAGCACTTAGAGTTATAACTTATGATGTCACCTGAAGCATGAATGGAGTAAAGGTGGTCAGTATTTAACATTTATTTATCACTTACTGTATGCCTGGCCAGCTGTGTTGAGTACTTTACAGCCATTCTTTCAATTGATTGTAAAAATCCTGTAAAGTATATTTTCCAGATGAGGAAATGGAGCTCAAAAAAGTTGAGTAATTTTCTCTAGATCACAGTAAGTTACAGAGCTGTGATTCAAATCTCTTACTGCTGATAGTCATTACTATCATTTTTAGCCATCTGACTTTTAAAAGTTGTATTTCCAGTCGTGAATAGCCCCAGTTAAAAGCTTTAGTATTAAAAATGTACATTTATATAAATAAAAGGATATAAATTTAGTTATTATCCTCCAAGGGTTAACGTATTGATTTATCTTCTTTCCTACCATATATTATTTTTTTTTCTTGGAGCCATGAGGGAACTTTATGGCTATTTATGATTATTCTTATTTTTGCTTTTAGTGGAATCTAATCAGAAAAGTTCATTCCAAGAAATTCCCAAACTTAATGAAGAACTACTCAGCAAACAAAGAGAACTTGAGAAGATTGAATCTGGAGAGCTGGGCTTGAGCAAGGTCTGGATAAACATCACAGAAATGAATAAGCAGGTAGTAAAAGTGTGATTTTATTTCTTTGTAAGCTCTGAATATTTAGTCCTATTTGGTCTGAATCTGTAGGTATAAGTAACTCCAAATTGTTTTACTTTTTGTTATCGTTTTTGCAAACTGTGATTCCAACACATTAAATTCAGGTAAAATAGGTAATAGTATGCATTTACCAAATAATTAAACTTTTCTTCAAAGGATAATTTTACAAAGTAGAGTATAATTTAGAGGGAATTGGAAATACTTGAGTCAGTTCTCATAAAGAGCAGTTGTTTTTGGAAAGAGTGCCATCTAACCCCCAAGAAAAAGAAAGGATAGCATATTTTTATTAGATAATAAGAGCTTATTTTGTTTAAGAGTATACAAATTCACAGACACAATCTTGAGGTATATATCATACTATATACTATACCAAAACCAATCTGGAAACCATTCACAGCTAATGATAGTTATTCTAGCATAGCATAGGAGAAAGTGGCAGAGTTGGTTAAATACCTTGGCCAGGCAAACAGGCCTAGAAGAAAAACTTTCCAATCCCTAAAAGATTTTTGATCAAGGATCTTGTATTTATATAGTTGCTGCTAGGTAACTGTAGCCCTTGTCTTCAGTTTTTGCAGTTTAATTAGGAAAAATGTGCATTAAAAAAAAAACCTCAAGTAGCAAATGAATGGTACACCTGCAAAGTGCTTAAAAATAGATGTGCCATTCTTGTTAGCATTAAGAGGATATCCTCCTCTTCAGAATGGAGTCACAAAGTTCAGAATAAGCCAGTGGCAAGGAGCAGCACTGTGCTAGGGTAAAGGGCTTACACATAGGCTGAGTGGCCAAATTATTTGATCTCTGAACACATAATAATCTGGGCCCTTTGTGTGTGTGTGTGTGTGTGTGTGTGTGTGTGTGTGTGTGTGTGTTATTTATTTATTTATTCATTTATTTATTTATTTATTTATTTATTTATTTATGGCCCGGTACATGGATGGGGTCTGGTCAGCCTGGCCAAGAGGAGGGGACATGGGCAGTTGGCCAGCCTGCCTACTGGTTGAACTCCTGGTTAAGTGGACAATTTGCATATTAGCCTTTTATTATATAAAATGTACACTGAGTGGCCAGATTATTATGCATTCAGAGATCATAATAATCTGGCCACTCAGTGTATTTCTGAAGTTCCCCCACCACCTTTCAACAGTAGTGCAGGAGCTGGGCAGTTCATCAGTTAAGACCAGAGATCAATGGCCTGGTGCTGCAGCTTTAAAACGTTTGCCTACAGTAAGAAATATTTTACATCATCCTATGTAATAAAGAGTGAATATGCTAACTGACCTTCACGCTGTTGTAAAGATGGTGGCGCCCATAGCCAATAAGGAGAGAATATGCTAATTGCTGCTCTGCCCTCAAAGATGGTGGCACCCACAGCCAACAAGGAGGAAATATGCTAATTGACTATCACACCCTCAAAGGTGGCAGTGTCCACAGACACAAGATGGCAGTGCCCAGTCCCCTCAGCCCTGTCAGGGTGGCAGGCACACAGCAAGGCCACTCCACGCACCTGCCTCCAGAGTGCCCCAGTCCTCTCAGCCCCTGGCCGCCCAGAGCTGGCCCGAGGTACAGGCAAGCCTCAGATGGCAGCTACCCAGCCTCCCAGGGGTACCCGAGACTTAGATAATCAGGGCTGTTTGAGGCTTGCACTGCCAGCAGTGGCAGTAGCAGAGGTGTGATGGGGTGTCGCCTTCCCCTGATCACTGGTTCACCTCCTGCCCCTGAGGGCTCCCTGACTGTGAGAGGGGGCAGGCCAGGCTATACACCCCCCCCCCCCCCGTTTCAGTGCATAAATTTTCATGCACCAGGCCTCTAGTTATCTAATAAACACATACATATATGTAACAAAAGTTTCTGAAAATATTAGCTTACCCTTATGATGCCTTATGATATTTTATTTTCTATTCTGTTCTATTCATTTTTTTTAGTCATTCGTGAAATAATTGATCAGTTGTAGTATTTCCTCATTATGTATTATCCTTGGACTCTTAATATTTAGGAAAAAACAAGTATTCACTCCTTTTTCTGTAAGAAGAACAGGATAAGACTGGCCTTGTATTCACAGAGCAAATGAGCAGTTTGACCAGAGATTACATCAAGTGAAAATCAACCACAGTGAAGCACTGAGAGATAATTAACATCTCTCACTAGGGCAAACCAGAGATTCCATTTAGATAGTCATGGAGTTTACAGTTCTGGGCCAAGGTGAAATCTTTCAGGATGAAGAGCCAGCAATATCAGCTACATTCCTATCTCCTTGTCAAGCAGCACAGGATAAGAGTGAAAGGGGAAGTGTGTACTTGGTGTGAGAGGGCACAGTTTTCAACCCTTTCCTATATGTTTTGGTTTCACAGTTCTCTTGGAATCTAGAAACAAAGTAATCATTTTATTCATGTCCTGGCTGTTATTTTTAGTAACAAAAAGCACCTGGGAAAGAAGATAAATGGGAAAGTTTACTTCAGTCCTAGAGCTTAATATATATAAGTGGGAGAGATTGAACTTAAACCCTTTCCATTTTACCTTCAGTAGATCTTCAAAGTTGATGGGACTGACTGATGAAACTAACCTGAGGTAGAGAAATTCTCTGCTGGCATGGGTACAGAAGGACGGGTGGTGGTAACCTAGAGCTTTAGGTTGGTCCAGAGCAAGCATGTCAAAATCACGGCCCGCAGGCTGCATGAGGCCCACAATGAATATTTTTGTGACCCAGCCAATATAATAGTATGTAAAAAACGTTTTAAAAAAATTTCATAACTTAATTTTACAATATCCTGTTATACATAATTGTTGATAACGAACTACAACATTCCATAATGACTGATTACTATAATCATGTTGCATTCGCTTCCCTTACACGCCTTATGTGTAGGCGCACCATTTCTCCACTAATACTAGCAGTGAATATTTTAGCAGCCAATTGCCATGTCATCAGTCTTGGACTGACTTGTTTGGTGTGCACAACAGGTTTATTTGCATTATGCTTATTTGTGTAGTTGTTCAGTGTCTGGTAAGTTAGTATTCAAAACAAATATTAATTTTTATTAAAACGTTCTATTATTTTATGTTAACGATTACTCATTTGTTTCAACCTTTTGTATTCAGCATGTCTCTATCGAAATAAATCTACATTTCTATGAAAATTGAAGCTCTTGTTTTTTTGCGGCCTACATAAACTTAAACCTTGTTTATTTGGCCCGTGTTAGCCTTTGAGTTTGAAATACTTGGTCCAGAGGGAGTTCATCATTCTCTGAATGATTTTCTAAAATTGCTATACATTTCTTATAGAAAGACATTTGTCCAAAACCAAAATAGTTACAAAAATAAAATTAATATTTAACCATGTTTCTTTTTTTAAAAATTTTTTTAAATACATATTTTATTGATTTTTTACAGAGAGGAAGGGAGAGAGATAGAGAGCTAGAAACATCGATGAGAGAGAAACATCGACCAGCTGCCTCTTGCACACCCCCCACTGGGAATGTGCCCACAACCAAGGTACATGCCCTTGACCAGAATCGAACCCGGGACCTTTCAGTCCGCAGACCAACGCTCCACCACTAAGCCAAACTGGCTTCGGCAATATTTAACCATGTTTCTATATCTCAGGGTAACCCTGTCAATTAAATTCTTTTAGTGACAAAAATTTTTTTAAAGAAATCTAAAGTGGCTTAAACAATAAAAAATGTATATCAGTTAACAAGGACTATCCTTATCACAGTATGAATTGAAGTTAATGTAGCCTGGAAAAAAAAGTTTGAAATAAGTTAAAATCAAATTTTGTACTGAAAAGTCTTTTAAAAAGTATTAAAATCAATTTATTTTTCTGTGTTATTTATGAAACTTCTAATTTCATCCCCATGTCCATTCTCAACATTATAGGGAGTCTGCTCCCCTTCTTTGAAGACTATTAATTCAACAAATGTTTAATGAGCTGCTTTTATGGAGTTAGGCCTTGGATTCCCACCCTCAAGGCTCTTACCATCAAATGGAGGAAAAATAGAAAAGTAAATAGTTATAAAACAGCCTAATAAGCAATATCAAGCTGGTCTATATGAGCACTGTGGGGGCATTTTTTAGGTATGTTTCTAACCCAGACTGACTGGCTGGATTCAAGCCAAGCTTCTCATATATCTTGAGCTGAGTCTTGAAGGACTAATAGGAGTTGGCTAAATAAATCCTCTAGAAAGAGAGAGGCTATCCTCATTAATACACTTGATCTTCATCATTTGCAGATTTCCATATTTGAAAATTCACCTACTAGCTAAAATTTGTTTGTAACCTAAAAATCTGTACGTGTGGTGCTTTTGCAGTCAGTCACTGGCAAGCATACAGTGGTGAAAAATTAGTCACCCAATAGGAACGTTTCCAGTTGAAGTCAAACAAGGCCACACATTGCCTTGTTTCAGCTCATAGTGTAAACAAGTTTTCTTTTCATGGTATATTTAGTGCCATGGTTTGTTTGTGTGTGATTCTGCTTCTTAAAATGTACAACTATCATGTGCTTAAGTCTTATCTAATATTGCAAAGTTCAAGAATGCTGTGTTATAAGTGTGCTTAAGTCTTATCTAATATTGCAAAGTTCAAGAATGCTGTGTTATAACTTACAGTGAAATACATGTGTTGGATAAGCTGCATTCAGGCATGAGTTAACAATATACATTAAATAAGATGTCTGTAAAAGAAATACACATAAAACAAATATGTATTTGTATCGATATGTATTGTATCTATCAGTTGACAAAAAATGTTGTGACCAGGGGACTCTTGGAACCTTACTCTCTACTTCCCTTAGGGGCAATCACTCATTCATTGTTTGCTGTGAATTTCCAGAACAGTGATTTTCAACCCTTTTCATCATGGCACACATAAACTAATTAGTAAAATTCTGCAGCACACCACAAAATACATTTTTTTTTGCCAATTTGACCAAAAATATAGGTATAATTTTGATTCATTCATACCAGATAGCCATTTTGTGTTAGCTATTGTCATTTTTTTATTTTGTCAGTGCCTTCAACTAAATAGTCAGGTATTGCATATTTTAAAAATTCTTGCAGCATACTGATTGAAAATCTATTTTACAACACAAATATGGTGAATTGTGAGAATTGAGTATACGTGCAAAAGCACAGACAAATGAAAAACAGTGTGTTCAGGGGATTTTTGTATTGTATTATAGCATAGTTTGGTGGAAAGAGGCCAGAAGTAAGGAAGGATATGTCAGCAAGAGTCATCAAGGACCTTGAGGGCATCATTTTCTATAGTATGTTCTATGTATATTTTTTGGCACTTGGTCCAGATATCTTATCATGTGACTAGAGGCCTGGTACACGAATTTGTGCACATTGAAAGGAAATTAATTAGAAGGTGGCCGGCAGGGCAGGACTGGGCCAGATGGGCCAGACATGCCCTGGAGCCAACCTTCTGCTATCTCTCCCGGCCAGCTGCACCTGCGGTGGCACCAGGGCTCAAAGAACGTCTGCAGAATGGGTGGGGTCCCTTGAACTGGCCTGCAGGGAACCGACAGTCCAACATCCTCCCCCAGGGGTCCTGGAGTGTGAGAGGGAACTCTGCAAAGTTGCTGTTGCTCCGCAGCTTCTACAATGAGCGTCTGCCCCCTGGTGGTCAGTGAGTGTCACACCTACCAGTTGTTCAGTAGGCCACTTAGCCTTTTATATGTATAGAAGATAGTCACAGTAGTCCCTTCTTATCCAAGACCTCCAGTGAAACCGCCAATAGTGCCAAACCTTCTATATACTATGTCTTTTCTATGCATACACGCCTGTGATCAAGTTTCATTTATAAACTAGGCACAGTAAGAGATTAACAACAGTAACAATGGAATAGAACAACTAAATGTACTGTAATAAAAGTTATGTAACCCCAGTAATTTTTACATTTTTTAATTCAGATCTACTCCTGAATCTGTCTAACCATCTCTTTCTTTCAAGAAATGGTTGGGTGTTACTCATTTCAGGGGAATCCTTGTTAAAGTTTTCGTGTAGGCTCAGTGCTTTCTGGCATACCATGTCACCATCAATCAGAGCACACTTTGTGTTCTTGTCTCCCATCCACAAATTTAATGCCATTTCCATCTTAACTAAGCATTTAACACACACTGTGGCCATAACTATTGCAGTTTGAGGTACAACAGCAAAACTAGCACAAATTTCTTTTCCTTCACAATTTCACAAATAGATTTGTTCTTACCATAGATCTTAACAACCTCAGCATTTGATTTTTTTTCTTTCCTTTTTAAGTGGAGAACTTTCACTTTTTCACTTAAAGGAAGTACATATATCTTCTCTGGCATATCCCAATTGCCAGCATCACTATTTTTGAGCTTTGGGGCCATTATTAAGTAAATTAAGGATTACTTGAACACAAGCACTGCATGACAATCATCTGATACCAAGACAGCTACTTAGTGACTAATGGGCGGGTGGAGTATACATCCTGGATATATTGGGCAAAAGGAGGAATCATGTTGTGGTGGGATGGGTCAGGATAACAGATTTCATTACACTACACAGAAGGGCATACAATTTAAAACTTATGAATTAATTTATTTCTTAAATTTCCCCTTTAATGTTTTTGGACCACAATTGACCACAGTAACAAACCACAGAAAGCAAAACTCAATATAATGGGGGACTACTGTATTTGTGTGTGCATCTAATTACACTAGAAGGTTGTACATGGAACTCTGTGCTTTAGGGTGATAACTGCCGTTCATTAAATGCTTTCTTTATGCAACAAAGAAAGGCCTCTATTAGAAGTACTACATATGAAATCTTTTTTTCTCCTATAGACCTATGAAGTAGGAGTAGTATCTCCATTTTACCAACAAGAAAACAGATTCCGAGGAGTAGTTAGCCCAAGGTCGCACAGCTGTATAGCAATGCTAACGTTAAAATATTCAGGTGCTAGGAGCCTGTCTTCCCCAGTTTTTCTTTCTGCCTTTCATCTTTATATCCACTATAAAATGCAGTAGGTGCTCAGTAGATGAAGTTGAAAGGGTGTGATGTCAGGTTCCTACTAGAGCTCATATTCATCATTGATGGTTGCCTGTTTTAGTAACTTTTTTGCTTACTATGTAAAGAACACTTCCCCAGCCGGTGTAGCTCAGTAGTTGAGCATTGACCTATGAACCAGGAGGTCACACTTTGATTTCCTACAGGGGCACATGCCCCAGTTGCAGTTGCAGGCTCAATCTCCAGTAAGGGGGGTGCGGGGTTAAAACACAATTTTAACCCCAAAGCAAAAAAACAAAACAAAACAAAAAAAACAACAACAGCATTTCAGATATCATAGTATAAAATTGTCTACAGTAGCTATTTTTAATTTTGCTAATGAAATGTCGTGTAATATGCATAAATGTCATGACTCATTTTTTGGCTGAAATTTGGGTTTTTATCTTAATGGTTTCTACTTAATGCAACTTTTTTTTAGATTATTTGAATCAGAGATAAATTCTGTAATGCTTGAATCCAATCTGACATCCTAGAGCAGTCCCAGTGATAATGGAGGGAGATCCTGGTCTCTCCATTCTAGTTACCCATGTAGCTTTGCTGCAGTTTTCCATAGATTTTGGCATTATTCCACTCAGAAGAAAGAAATGTTGAGAGATGAAATCCAGCTTTGCAGTTTATGGGAATATAGCTGAATGCAAGAAAGTGTGGTCCAGGTCTTATGAGTAAGAAGTCCTAGGTGATGTTTGGTAATTAGACCTTAATGGTCTGCTCTCCAGAGTAAACTCTTTGAGTGAGGCAGCTGATACCCAAGCCTAGAGAGTTTGGGGCAATGAGGGGAAGTGAAACAGTACCTCACCTTATCCTGCTAGCATCAGCTTTCAGCTGCTCCTCTGGTTTGGGGAGAAATAGTAACTGCCAGCCAGCCACACTGGCTATTTGTAAGGCCACTACTATTCTTGAGAAACTTAACAAATAATTACACAAGTAAATAAATCATCATCACTTTGAGAATTGCCATGCAGAAAAAGTTTTCCTGGGCCTATTAATGTTGTTGCTCCCTACCTATTACCCAATGCCACATTCACCCTTCTAACCTAAAAAAATACCTGTTTTATTTTTATATATAAAATTTTTCCATCAGAGTCTAATTGGAGTCCTACTTCCATGAATTCTGTCCAGTTCAACGCGCACTGATGTTCTTTTCTTAGAACTTTATTATCACATTTAGTACTTAATTTATTTAATGTTAGTTCCCTTCCATAGAGGGATAGACCCTCTACCTCCCTGCCTCCACCTCTCCCTTCCCTCCCCCTTTCTCACTCATATTTTGTGCTTCTGCCGCCAGCCTTTTTTTTGTTCTTCAGATATGCCAAGCTCTTTCCTGCACTAGGGCCTTTACCCCAGCAGTTCCCTCTATCCTCAAACGCACTTCATTCAATTTATGCCTGATTAATTTCTTCTTATTATTTAGATCTGTTTATATGCCATCTCTTTATAGAGGCTTTTTCTAATCATCCAATATAAAGTCACTACCCAGTCACTCATCAAGTTGCCTTATTTTCATTTTTTCCTAACACATACCATTATCTCATATAACATTGTCTGTGTCCTTGCACTAAAATGTAAACTTCAAAAGATCACTGACACCTGGTATAAAATAGGGCTCAATAAATATTTATTGCAGTAATGAATGAGTAAAAGTAGCTTGGTATCCCTGAACATTTTCCTTCCAAAGTGAAAGAAGAAAAAGAGAATCTATGTTCCCAGGTTCCTCACTGGACTCCTTGTTCAAAGTACATTGCTGCTCACCCCGGAGTTCTGCTTAATTTCTTTACATAGACCTTATTATCTGATACTTTCCTTCTTTGTTTTCTCTCACCTACTATGATGGGTGCTCCATGAAAGCAAAACTTCATGGTCTTGTTTGTTACTATCTCCACAGTGCCTGCAGCAGAACCTGACATGGAGATGCCAAACATTTGTTGAAGTAAAGAGTAGGGGATCAGGTTTACTTTGTTTTTATGGAATAAATGCCAGAAACTTTAGTGGCTATTCTGTGACCCTCTGAATATAATTGCTGTTGGTATATTTGTGTCCTCATTCTCGCTTTTGGGATAGGAAAGCAGTATGGAACCAGGAGTCTTCCAAGAATGTTTGAGCCACACTGCAAGGTTGTTAGAATATGATCTATGCAGCCTGAAATTGAGTATTATACAGGCTCCCCCAGCCCCCATATAAGAGAGAAGTCCAGCTGTGTAGAATTCTACCCCTAATAGTAAAAGGGAAGACATTTTATTTTGATTCAATTCCTATTTTAATACATTTAGTACATCAGTCCACAAGTCACTGGGTATTTATTGAGAACCTTCAGGGTACAAAGTAGTGCTTTGGTTGAGCTATTGAGTTTGAAATATTAATCACATTGTTAAACCAAAACTAAATTCCCAAGTAGTTGAAAGTGCTGTTCAAGTTGGCAGGGTACAGTTTCTATAGACTGTATTTTGTGATGATGGGCTTTTACTTTATATGTTCCCACTTGGGCAGGAACAAAAGTTCAGTAAATAACTAAGGTTTTATTTTTTTACTGAAATGAAATCCTTCAGGGATCTTTGATCATTAGCTTTCTTTCTGTCCTTTTGTTGAAGGATTGTGTTGTAATCACTATTACAATCATCTTTTGGGTACTTTAAGATTTTTACATTTTGTAGCTGCCAGGAGTTAGAATAAAGAATAATTGCCTTTCTCTCTTTGGCACTAGTGTTTAAATTGGGCAGGGAAAGAAGGGGTATTATCGCTGCCTCCCCAATCTCCAGTCTGTTCAAGAATGAGCTGAATAAGGTGAAATGTCTGGATTACAGAAGTGCATAAAATCAAAGGGTGCCTTGACATCAGCATCAAATGTAGAGACTGTGAAGGAAGAATCCACTGTGCAAATTCTGTTTTCATTGTTTGTTCCTCTTCCTTTCAGATTTCTCTGTTGAATTCTGCGGTAAACCACCTCAAAGCCAACATTAAATCAGCAGCAGATTTAATTAGTCTGCCTGCTACTGTAGAGGGACTTCAGAAGGTAAGTACTATGTATAGACACTGAGATTAACCAACTGCTGTAATTCTAGCTTCTTACATGTTTTCTTTGAAAACCCAACATTTGAAATCATCTGCTTCAAGAGGGCAGTAATAGAGCATATCACTGTGCCCTAAAGATTTTAAAGTATCTGTTTTGTTCTGATTAGTTGGGTGTTTAATTTGCAACAGGTGACTTTAGCTCTGGTTTATGTGACTTTGCACCTTTTTATTTGGTTCTCCAAGTCCCAGGATTGCTTTGCTGGGACTCTTATGTTAACATATGTGGGTTCTTTTTTTCATCATTTGCCTTTTCGATTCATCATCCACTTTGTCTTCATGAAAGCAGACCAGTTGTATATAAGAGTTACTCTAAATTGTTAACCTTTATATTACCATTTTTTTTTTGAAAGATAATTTGAAGAACTGCAAACATTTAAAATTCAGGATTTGATAAGTGTTAGCAAAGAAAACTCCTGCTGGGAATAAAAATGGTAAAAAGCATTTTGGTAAACAATTTATGTTGTTTTATAAAAGTAAAGGTGCACATCCTCTAAGCCAGGGTAGGGAACCTTTTTTCTGCCAAGGGCTATTTGGATATTTATAACATCATTTGAGGGCCATACAAAATTATCAACTTAAAAATTAGCCTACTATATTTGGGCAGATATCTAATTAACTCACCCCTCATGCCTTGGCAAGGCCAGACCAAATGATTTCTTGGGGCTTATATGGCCCAAGGGCAGGATGTTTCCCGCCCCTGCTCTAGGCAGTTTACTCAATATATGCCTTAGGCAAACAATAATTTGGAATGTCTGTGGTTTTTTGATCCCTAAGATTCAGGCCTAGACCAGGAGGCAGTGACCAAGCAGATGGGTAATACATAGGGATCTTTAGAGCTGGGTGGGGAGAATGGATAGGAAGAAGAATGGGCCTACTTGGTACACAAGCAACATCAGCCCCTCCAGCAGGAAATATAAGAATGGATTCTGGCGCAAGGGAGTCAAATCTAGTCTATAACTTTTCAAATTTAATATGTGATAACTTTGATTACATGCCAGGCTCTATAAATATATAAATTTTCTCCACAAAGGAGAACTTCCTAAGCCAAAAACAGAAACAAAACTTGCCATTTTATAGTCACTCCACTTGTGAGCTCGGTCCATAGTTTGCTATTTGTCCAATAATGTCATCTGTTTATAACTTTAAATACAAAAGTAGGGACAACTTTGATGAGGCCAAATACTTCTTGCCATTGTTTCCAGGTACCAAGTGGGAAAAAGATAGGCCTTTGTAGCCTTTAGCACAAAAGCGACTCTGGGAGTCTTGCATTAGTGAAGGAAACTGGTTTGTTCTTGCATTCATCAATTCAGTAAACGTTTGTGGAGCTTCTTCCAGAGCCAGGCACTTTGCAGTTATCAAGAATACCAAACAAGAACTTACTATCTTCTTGCATCCTGATGGGATCAGACATACAGCCAGTTAGGAGTCTGTAATAACAGAGCTTGCATAGATAACATTCCAGCTCAGAGACTTCTACCCAATGTGTTGGTGTCTCTTTGCAAATTTGTGCATTAATAATGTCAGACACTACTTTTGTTACAAGTGGCTCTGTTTTGAAGTGGTAGTTCATCTCAAATACCTAACCTCAGTATACTTAGGCACATAAGGGAAAGCACACAGGGGAAGTGTTCCCAGGAGAAGCACCCTGCTGCAGCTGTGCTCACTGGCATGAGCCCGGTGTCTGGCAACCATCTTATCAGCCGAGCTGAGTGCACTGCTGCTGTGGGAGCGTCCTGACCACCAGGGGGCGGCTCCTGCATTGAGTGTCTGCTCCCTGGTAGTCAGTGTGCATCATAGCAACCAGTCGGTTGTCTGGTCATGAGATAGCTTCGACTTCTATATATATAGATTTTTTCCCCCTATTAATTGTATCAGTATAAGCTACATGAAATTCATAGTTTGAAAATATTTGAAATAATTAAAAACACTGACCTCCATTTATTGGTGTTTAATGTAAAATGAAATCAATGATATATACACTCCCATTAGAACAGCTAAAATTGCAGATACCAGTGTTGAGGGTATGAAGTAATTAGAATTTTTATACACTGCTACTGGGAATACAAAATGGTATAACATTTTAGAACACAGTTTGGTAGTTTTTTTAAAAGTTAAGTATACATCTACCGTGTGATCTGCCATTCACCTTCTAGGTATTGTGATTATAAGCATACTAGAAGCTGGTGCATGAATTTGTGCACTGCTGGAGTCCCTCAGCTTGGCCAGCGATTGGGGCCAATGGGGACCAGCTGGAGGGAGGGATCTTGGGATGTTGACCAACTGCAGGAGGTTGGCTGTGGGAATACACTGACCACCAAGGTGCAACTCCTGCATTGAGCATCTTCCTCCTGGTGGTCAGTGTACATCATAGCTACCAACTAGTCATAACAGTCACTTAGACTTTTATACATATATATAGATGTCCACATAAAGACACGGACACGAATGTTTATTCGAGCTTTATGTGTAATAACCAAACACTGAAAACAACCTAAATGCCCATCAACAGGGAAATGAACTACAATATATCCATACAACAGAATGCCACCCAGCTATATGCTGAGTAGCTACAGCATAGGTAAGTTTTAAAATAATTGTACTAAGTGAAAGAAGTTATCATTTTTAAAAAGTACATACTGCTTCTCTTTTTATGAAATTTATTTTCTTATTTTTTTCCTAAATATATTCTTATTGATTTTTTTACAGAGAGGAAGGGAGCAGGATAGAAAGTTAGAAACATCAATGAGGGAAAGAAACATCAACCAGCTGCCTCTTGCACACCCCCTATTGGCTATGTGCCCACAACCAAGATATATGCCTTTGACCGGAATCAAACCTGGGACTCTTCAGTCTGAGGCTGAGGCTCCATCCACTGAGCCAAACCGGTTAGGGCTCTATGAAATTTAGAAAATGCAAATTGATATGTAGTGATAGAAAGTAGATCAGTGGTTGACTAGGGACAGAGATAACTTGGGGGTGATGGATATGTATTATCTTGATTGTGTTAATACTTTCACAGGTGTATGTATGTCAAAAGTTACATTTTGAACATGTGCAGTTATTGTATATCAGGTACCTCTTAATAAAACTAATACAAATTTTTAAAAAGGAAAAAACACTAACCTTACTACATTTTTATGTTCAGAGCGTGGCTTCCATTGGCAATACTTTAAACAGTGTCCATCTTGCTGTGGAGGCAATACAGAAAACTGTGGATGAACATAAGAAAGCCATGGAATTACTACAGAGGGACCTGGTAAGGAAATCTACGAGCACTATGGAAAGTCAGCACTCTCCTGCCTCCTCTTTTCTGAGCAGTAATAGTAGAGATACCCACTTTACATTTGTCTAAACAGACCCTACTATGCACCTTTAAAAAAATACAGTACGCAGTGTTTATTGTTATTTTTACAATCTGTAAAATAAGCAGTTAAGGTGGATAGAATTAAGAGCCTCAGTCTTTTGTAAATGTGCTGCAGGAGACACTGAAATAAGATACCGGAGGATGGAATGGGAGGAAGGAAAATGGAAAAGAATGAAAGGAAAGTAGGGAGGTGTCTCCATTGTTTATTGCTACATAACTAATCACACCACAACTTAGGGTTTAAATCAGCGCTTTATTATTTCTCACTTTTCTTTGGGCCCAGAATTTGGCAGGGCTCTTAGACTAGGGAATGGTAAGAGGCCATGTGAAGGGGGCTCCAGAGGATGAAAGGCCATCTTGGATGTTCATGCTCCCAATAGAATGCAGCCATATGTGTGACCCCATCCTACAACATGTGAAACAGAATATCCCCACCCTGCTGAGCCTACACAACCCACAGAATCCTGAGAAAGAATAAATTACAGTTGTTTTAAGCCACAAAATTTTGGGATGATTTGTTACACAACACAGATAAGTGAAACAAACAACCCCTGCAGTGCTCAGGGGTTGTTTTCAAATGCCTCTTCACACTGTGCAGATGTAAGCTGTCTGCAGTTATTTGGAGGCCTGAGTTCATCTCCTAATGGGTATTCGGCTCTATTCAGGATTTATGAAGGCTGAAAAGGATAGCACAATCTCTGCTGTCATGCTGTGGAGATGAGTTATATGTACTTGAAATTGGGACTATTCAAGGTGTACAAAAGCTCCCTAGCTTCTCCACTCATTCCTAGATCTGTCCCCCATGTTGATGAATCTGTGGAAGCCCCAGTGAGAAGCTAGAATGTTCCGAGATCATGGCAGATGGCTAAGTAGGCTTAGTAATTACTTATTGCCTATACTAATCTCCATTCCTGTTAACAGAATCAGTACTCTATGAAGGAGACCAGTAGAAGCGGCCAGATTATTCCATCACCTTCAGCTCCATCAGAACTTGACAATAAATCCAACAGCAAGAATATGAAACAGGTACTTTTTGTATCTGGCTTAACTTCCTGTGACCACAGTAGATTCTGGAGCAATCAGAGTAGTTTGTGCTTCGTGTTGTGGTTCCTCCGCTGACATCTCATGCATATTTGTGCCTGTGTGAGAGCTGACCAGAGAGGGGTTGGATAGGGATCTAAGATGCTGTCCTATCTCTTGTTTAGCAATCTGTGTTTTTTCCCCCTGCATGTCAACCAGTGGAGTAAGTTTATTTTCACATCTTGAAAGATTGAAAGACATAGAATGACCAGAGTATCCTGAAACTCTTTATGAAAAACAGCAATCTGAGCAAGTTAAAGATGGATGGATAGCAGATTAACTCAGAGTGATGGCTGTTTTGAGTCACAGTAACTTTTAATAATGTTAAAAAGCATATCCTTACAAAGTTAAGATTCTCAAAAGACTAAAACAAAGAAGAAAAAGGATATTGAGTTCAGAATCATATTGAAGAAAATAAAGGAAATCTTCACTAAGAATAATTCCTGTCCTGAGTCTAATGCTCTTTAAAACCTATAGTCATCATTTCTATTTAAGTAGTAATCAGTAACTAAAGGATGTCAATAAAAATAATTGAGTCTTGTACTAAATAATGCACTACTTGTTATAGTTTTGCTACATGAGCCAATTCAGTAATTGGTATTGTTCCTAAGGTAATTTTTTTCTGACAAATTAGGCAAATAGATGTTTCGGTTAATAACCCAGCAAGCTTTCCTGCCAGCAGGTGAGGTAAACATTGGGAAATCAATTCCCAACCTCTCAGCTTCCTGGGACCAGAGAGTGAATCATGTAGGTAGTCCTCTTCTCTTTCCCCCTCCTGTCTAGCTGAGGCCGAACAATTCCAGAGGGAGTAAACTGAGAGCAATTTAGAGTAGAGGGACAAAGCAGAGACAGACGATCAATGGTCTAAACCAGGAAAAGGAGTTTACTTCCGTAACTTGACATAATAATGGCTGTTCAGTGCTGCTGGCCTGCTTGTCTAGCATACATCTTTAGCTGGATTCCACAACTTAATTTATTTCCACTCCAGAATATCCTGTACCTCTACAACTCTTTAGAGGAGGTAAACAGTGCCCTCGTGGGGTACCAGAGGCAGAATGACCTTAAATTTGAGTGGATGAATGAGACTGTAGGTAATCTTACCCAGAGAGTCAACTTGGTAGAAAGAGATTTGGTTGCTATGAGCAAGCGAACCTGTGTGTCAGCATCATAAATCTTTTCAGATTTTTTGTGACGTGTCTGTGTTGCAGTGTCTTTTGTCTGTACATGGCTGACATTCCACCACCTTTTCAGAACACAGTCTTCTGGCATATTTGAGAGGCTACACATTTGTATTATATTTAATCCTCTAATCCTACACTAGTTCTGTGATGTGCGTGGCACAATCGGTGTTGGTCCTGATTAGGAACGGAAATGTAGAAAGGTTTAGTTGCTTGCCCAGGGCTCACCACAAGTTGTTGTCAGAGATAACAAGCCTTCTATTATGTTACAAGTGACCTCTCTGGTAGGGAAGCTCTGGCATATGTTTCTAAGTGAGGTCTTCTTGATATTTTTTAAGTTGTTAAAGGGTAGGAGCAAAGTCAGTGGCAATAACTGAAGAATTTTTTGTCATTTCACTAAGCCAGAATTTGGATTTCAGATTTACCCTGCTCCATCTGCACTTATACTTTTGCATATATGGTCAGGGAAGCCATTTAAAACAGATCAGAACTGGCCAGCTCCTCAATTTAAGAGATCATTGAATCTAGCTTCTCATTTTACATGTGAGGAAACTGGATGACCTACTAAGTCACCAATGCTAGCTGTCCACGTGGTTTACTAGTTTTCATATTATTCTGTGTTTCTTTAATCAACTTTCTTTTTGCTGGGATCCATGTGGATTTTTTTTTAATAGTTGCAAGCCTCACCTTTAAAGATTTCATATAGCAAAGATATAGGCATATATAAAGAAATGGAAACCAAGTATAGGAAATTATACTGTGAATTTAAGTAACCACCAAAGCTAGAAAAAAACCACAAATATAGTCAAATTCTGGCACATAGAAAGCAGTGTTTGAATTGGTTCTGTCATACTGGATCGTTGGCAGGTTGCCTGGAGGCTTAGAGGGTGGAGTAAGACTGTCCTTCTTATTTTACAGGGATATGTAATTGACTACAAATCTGCAAAGATTAATTACTGTAAAAGGAAGTCTTGCTTTGAACTCTACTTAACTAAACAGGGGCTAGGAATTTTGGATGATTTGATGAGTAAAAGGCCTCTAAGGTTTTCGAGGCTTATTGTAAAAACTTACCATCCCAAACTTCCCCTACTCTTCCTCTCCTCCTCACTTTATTTTTCTCCACAACAGGAAATTGTTAATAGTAAGGATTGTCTTACTGCTTCTTCTACTAGTATCTCAACATGCTTCTAGATTAAAGTTCTCTCGCTTTATACTTCAAAGTTTTAAAGTTTGAATGAATCAACTAGACTAAGCACCATTTTCAGCTTTGTATCTTGGTGGCCTTTCTCCCCCTCTTCTCTCATTCTTCTTCTGGTATTTCCACTGAAAGTGTTGTGAGATTTTTAAAATAAGTTTGGCCAAATTGCTTAAAAAGTGCTAGATATTGTGTAAGTTTTAATGTTTGCCTTTAATCTTCTCTTGTTCTTTTTACCCTTTAAGATAGGTGATAGAGCTGCCACTTTGAAAAGAGAGTCTTTGCATCAGGTGACCAGCAGAATAGATACATTAAAAACCCAAAGCGTAAAGGTAAATAACAGGAAGCTTGCTCTGACATAAAGATAAACGCATCTGCATCTTTGTGGTTTTGAACTGCTGCTGCTTTCTCAAAGGAAGCACTTTAGTCTAATTTGCTAAAACTTCAAGACAATTAGTATATTGAATAAGTGACGAGTTTATCAGGCACCTGCCCTGTGCCAAGCACTCTGCCAGGAGCTGGGGTGATCATTCTGAGTAGGCTAGACACATGAACCCTCTTCTGGTGGAGCTCAAAGTCCATTAGTCAGAAAATCATTAACATGTAATTGAACAGATAATTAATCATGAGTATGATAAATGCTAGACAGGAAAAGTATAAGATATGATGAGGGCATTAGCAGAGATGAGAAAGGCTTTTCTAAGGAAATGACTTTTAAGCTAAGACAGGAAGTTAAATGTACTAATGATGGGGAACAGTGGCTTAGATAACTTAAAAACATTGTCTAACCTAAAAATTATTTTTTATTTTTAAACTAGAGGCCTGGTGCACAAAATTTGTGCACTGGTGGGTCCTGAGGCTGGCCAGCAATCAGGGCCAATCAGGTTTCCCATCTCCCTGCCTCCATTCCTCCTCCTTTCTTCGCTCTCTCAGCACCCCACTGCCACTGCCGCTGATGACCCGCTATGTTCCGTGCCATCCCCTGGTGGTCAGTGCACATCATAGCAAGCAATTGAACTCCTGGTCTTCCAGTCGAACTCCCAAGGGGACCCTTTGAATGTTAGCCTTTTATATATATATAGATTGCAGTCTCAGAACATGTATAATCCATTTAAGGCTCAGCCATTTCCCTTCTCCTTGTACCTTTCTGTTTTATTGTTCATCCCAGACATATTTACAAGATAAGCAATCTGTGATATACTCTGATATCCCAGAAAAGAAAGTCTTAGGGTATCAGAATAAGATACAGCTAGTACACATTTTTACCTAAATTTATTAGCTTTACTTTTAGATCCTTTGTTTTTTTTAATTATCTCAATATGAATCCCTTTCTGCCGCCTCATCTAAGCATCCTAACCACATGCCATTTCTCTTAGCATAAATTCTTCAAGCAGTTAGGACCTAGTTTTAGGTATATAAGCCCATATATTAGCTTCCTGAATAAACCAAGAGTGATCTATATACTAACAGTATAGAAATAAAGGCAACAGAGAAGAGAAATAATTAAATATATATTGAACAAAACAAACATGTAATGAGTTGATATTCTAATTAAGCACAGGATCAGGACCTTTCACCCTAGTTAGAAACAGGCCTCATAGAAACCAGACGTCTCTCTTTTTATAATTAAATTTATTTTTATATGCCACTCTAGATCATCCTGGAGATGAGGCAGGATATAAGGCAAAAAGTTTTTTTAAAAAGATAATAAATAAAGACTTTGAATTAGAAGTATTAGAGCTTCTTCTTCGTGTTCATACAGTTCCTGCCACTAGTTGAATGATCACCATGAGTGGAGAGAAGGAAGATCAGGGGAATATTTGTGGTTTGGTTGCTTTTTTTTTTTTTTAATGTGATAAGAGCATAAAACTCTGCCTAAAGTGGTCTAGTCACAAGGTGAAGTAATATATTCAGGAAAATTATTTAGTTAGTGTGAAATCATTCCTAGAAACCAATATGCTACTCATTTAGGAAATAGGTGTCGTAGAGGCACCTGAGCAAGGGGGCATTTCCTTTACTGCTGACACAGGCATGCCTTCCCCCATCAGCCAAATGTTCACAGTGAATCAGATCATCTCTAGCATAATGTTCCCTTAATGGTCTAGGCTCAAATCCAGCTAGGCCCTCATCAACACTGAGTACCGAAGATATCTCTAGTATTTGTTGATTCATTCCTTCATTGCCTGTACTGATAGGGAACCTCCTGGGGGTCAAGCACTACATGCTAAATAGGCGTTGAGAATATAATAAAGAATCAAATGAAGTCTTGCTTCCGCGTTAAACCTCTGTGATCTTTATTTTGGACAGAAAGAAGATAATTCAGATTCTCAGGTATCCAAGGTAAGGGAGAAACTACAGCTGATCAGTGCTCTCTCCAACAAGCCTGAGAGCAACAGGCCTCCAGAGACCACCCATGAAGGTGAGATATTCAGGGCTGGCTTCTGAATATTTCACGCAGGCTTGAGCAGCTTGCCTCCCACATGGAGTGGAAAGGTGTTTCGGCAGGACTGATCGAACCCAGTGAATGATGCTTGAGCGCACCGAGATGAAGCTGATACACTTTGCTTTCATTTAGCAAAAGCCCATTTGGTACATGATTTGTACTCCAGTCTATTAAGGGAAGAAGGGTAATGTTTAGCTGGAAATAGACTTCTCCATGCTGTCTGCATCCAATTATAGGCAAAAAAAAAACAAAAAAACATTACTGTCATAGCATGTATTAAAGCAGCTAAATGTTTATGGAAGTCTTTTCAATTTTTAAGTGCATAAAATTTACTTTAAAATAATTATTAGTCCTTCTGAAATACCATTAACAAATGATGATGGGATCATTGAATTGGAAAGGCCCTTGGCTTTAGGTAGGGACAAACCTACTCAATATTGGCAGATATATCAACCTCCACTGGTTTAAGCTCTAGGAGGACATAATCCTAAGGCATTGGACTATGTTGGCTTTGACCCCTACCCCCCACAAGTATTTTTTATTTTTGAGAAAGTAATACAACCTCTCTGTTCTCTTTAGGGTGGGATACAGACTACAGGAGGCCTTGTCCTAGCAGTCTGCTACACAACTGTATCATAGCGATCTTTCAGCACCAGCTCGTCTGGTGGCACATACCCCTGATCTGCTCATAGCACAGCTCTCAGGATATCAAATATCCAATGCTGTTTTCACTTGCAGCTTAAACTCTTAACATCTTAAACATGTGCTGGGGCTATAAGACCACAGGTCCTACTGAGCCATGCCAGAGACCACAGTTTTAAACCTTAATGTATAATATTGATTGATGTTCACTTAGCCCTAAACATATTGAGTTTATGCCTTTAACTCATTCAGTCACTGTGCTACTTAATTCTCTGTTTTTATTTTATTTTTCAATTACAGTTGGCATTCAATGCTATATTAATTTCAGATGTACAGTATAGTGGTTAGACAATCATGTAATTTACATATATTTTAAGTACCCACCTGGCACTATACATAGTTATTACAATATTATTCACTGTATTCCCTATGCTGAACTTATATTCCCATGACTGTTTTTGTAATTACCAATTTGTACTTCTTAATCCCTTCACCTTTTTCAGCCACCTCTCCAACCCCCCTCTCTTCTGGTAATCTTCTTTGTTTTCTCTGAGTCCGTTTCTGCTTTGTTTGTTCATTTACTTTGTTCTTTAGATTTGGCATATAAGTGAAATCATATATTTCTCTTCCTATGCCTGACTTATTTCACAGCATAATACCCCCTATGTCAGAGATTTTTCAACCATTTTCATTTCATAGCACACTTAAACTAATTACACTAATTTTAGTAATCTTAATTACTAAAATTCTGCAACACAACAAAAAATATTTTTTGCCAATCTGACCAAAAAATAGATATAATTTTGATTTATTTACATAATCCTCTCTAATAAAAGAGAAACATGCAAATTGACCACTAGCCAATCAGGGTGAGTATGCAAATTAACCCAACCAAGATGGCAGTTAATTTGCATATCCAGGCCAGAGCAGAGACAAAAGTGAAAGAAGTCAAGTGTTGCAAAAGGGAGTGAAGCTGCAGAGAAGCAAGCAAGTGAGGCAGTGGAGAAGGAAGGGAAGCAAGCAGAGTGGAGAGAAGGGAGGGAAGCCTGCAGGACTGCAGAGACCGCAGCAGGAAACCCTATTGCAGGAATCTTTCTGCAAGGGGCCTCTAGTAATAATAATAATAATAATAATAATAGTTATCTAGTATTCTTTTTACTCCAAAGTGATTTAAAAAAAAAAACAGGTGCCTATACTTGTATATAAAGATTTCGGGTATCACTAATTAACTAATCAACCTTATTATGCGATGTGACCAGTAAGGTGCAACTCTATTACTAGTACATGACCTACATATTCATGGTTCAAGCAGGGCATCCACACAGACAGCTTTATTGTGTTGGCTGTTTTCATTTTGTTTTTAATTTTATAATCTAAGGGAGAAGACATTGGTGCCCCTCACTAAATGGTCAGGTATTTCATGTTTTAAAATTTTTTTGCAGCACACCAGTTGAAAATCACTGCTCTAGGTCCATCTGCGACATTACTAGATTTCATTATTTTTATGGCCTAGTAGTATTTCATTGTATATATGTACCACAACTTTTTTATCCAGTCTGTATTGATGGGCACTTGGGTTGCTTCCATATCTTGGCTATTAAAAATAATACTGTAATGAACATAGAGGTGCATATATCTTCTCAAATCAGTGTTTTGGGGTTTTTTTTGAATATATACCCAGAAGTGGAATTGCTGGGCCCATTTTTAATTTCTTGAGGAATCTCCATACTATTTTCCATAATGGCTACAGCAATCTGCATTTCCACCAACAATGCAAAAGGTTTCCTTTTCCCCACATCCTTACCAACACTTGTTTTTTGTTGATTTATTCATGATAGCCATTCTGACAGGTGTGAGGTGATATCTCATTGTGATTTTAATTTGCATTTCTCTGATGATTAGTGATATTGGGCATCTTTTCATATGTCTATTGGCCATCTATATGTCCTCTTTGGAAAAGTGTCTATTAAGGCCCTCTACCCATTTTTTTTAATTAGATTGTTAGTTTTTTTGGTTAGGTTGTATAACCTCTTAGCAAATTTTGGATATTAATCCCTTACCAGATGTATCTTCTTTCATTCAGTAGGTTTTTTTGGTCACAATTTTTCTTAAATTAAGTATATATGCATTTATCCTAAGAGATAACCTTCAATGCTGGTTTAACTTGGTGTCAGACTTGCTAATAACTAAAACCATGTGTGTTTGTTACAGAGCAATTACAGAGTTTCACATCAAAGCCATCAGCACTTCCAGAATTTCCACAATCTCCTGGAGATGACATTGAGAAAACAGCCCAGCTAAAATCTGTCTCTATACCAGGAATTGCTAGCATCAAAGGTAAATTTGTATACCATGGAGTAATAAGGGAAATATTCAAAGTTATAAATTCCTAATTTTTTTAACTTGCAAGGAAAAGAAATATATATAAATCTGGGCCAATATTTGATATACATTTGTATTATATAATACTGATTAACAATCCAGGGAACATAAATATTCATGTATGATACTCATTTTACTAATAGGGAAACTGCCGAAGTCCACACAGCAAATAATTAATTGAGGCAAAATTCATACCAAGGCAGTCTGACACCAATGCAGTATATTATCTCTCTGGTAATGTTTTTAGAGTTTTCATTCATTGAGTACCTAATTATACCCAGTGCTAAGCAATAACAATACAGTAGAAAATAGAGTCTCACATTCCTCAAAGATATAAAAGTCTAGTGGAGAAGGCAAACAAGAAAACATAATAAATACTGTAAGATTAGAAAAAAAAGTAAAAGTTGACCCTATTTGTCAGGGCCCTCCAAAAATGAGGAGTCCTTTAGCTGAAAACCAGTAAGATAAACATTAGTAAAAAGGATATGATTCTTAAAAAAGTATTACCTTACTCCCAACAGTGAATATTCTGTCCCTCACTGTGATATTTGGGTCTCCTGATTTTGCATTTGCTAACAGCCTAGAAAAATCACCCCATTCCTGTTCATTGCCTTTGCCTGGCTCCTCACTTCAGCTTAGATACCATTCCACCAGGGAACATTTCCTTACCTCCCAGGACCAGATAAGGTTCTTTCTGTATATGACCTCTTCTGTTTAATACCTATCACTCTGTTGTAATTTCCTCGGGAGACATAAAATTTAACTTCACTCCTAGCCCTTAACATAGTGGCTGGTACACATGAATATTTGTTAAGTGAATGAGTTCTCTACAGGCCACGGTGAAGCATAGAAAACCTAAATTTATTTTGCCACTTAAATGCAATTTTTTTTTTCCCATTGCAATTTTTTTCTTTCTGTTTTCTGGGGAGATGGGAGAATGTTAAGTTGTGTTTATTGTCAATACAAGTTGCCTTCTACTCTCCATTATTACTTCAAGAATTGATGAAAATGGAGTTGAAAATCTATTAAGAGCAGATTAAAAACAAGCCATCTTAACATTTGTACCTAACATAGATTTTACATGCTTTTGAATGGCTACACTTTTGAAATGATCTGGAACAGCAATTAGATTTTTATTGAAGTACTTCTACCAAGTACATAGCACATTTTATTAACTTATGCTTCATATACTAGTACACACACAATAAAAGATTTTTCAGCTAGCCACTTGGTGGCAGGCATTGAGAACAAGCATCACACCTGCTTTTCTAGCTTTCAAGACTTTTATTTAGCTGCTTTGCTAAGACTATCTTAAGAGTGAAACTAGGCCCTTATTTAGAAGCTTTTATACAACTCCTTGAAGGACTAGATCTTGCACTGCAACTGTTTCTCCCCTTCAAATTATTATTATTCTTCTTAAGTACCAAACAGCCAGAGGCCTATTGAATCTAAGTGTGAAGTTGCATAAATGAAGAAAGGAAAGGAATTTAGGAAGATTTTTTATAGAAACATAAGCCTCATTGACTATCTTCTGATAGTAGAGACTAAATCTACTAAGTCATTCAATAGGGACATAATCAAGTCCAAGTCTTTTTTATTTCATTTTTTGGTTAATCCTTACCCAAGGATATTTTTCCCATTGCTTTTCAGAGAGAGTGGAAGGGAAGGGGGAATGGGGACAAAAAAAGAGAGAGAAACATCAATGTGAGAGAGCTACATCGATTGATTGTCTCCTGCCTCAGTCCTGGCCAGGAGCTGGGGTTCAGACCTACAATCCAGGCACATTCCCTTGACTAGGAACCCAAGACCTTTTGGTGTACAGGCCAATGCTCTCATCATTGAGCCACACCAGCCAGGGCTCAGGTCCTTTTTAATGTTATGTAAATAATTGGCCTTCCTATTTGGAAACAGCTTAAGTGCCTATCAGCAGATGAGTGGATTAGAAAATTGTGGTACATTTACACATTGAAATACTGCACTGCTGTAAAAAAGAAAGAACTCTTATTTTATAATAGCATAGATGGACATGGGGAGCATTATGCTAAGTTAAATAAGCCAGTTGGAGAAAGATAAATATCACATGATCTCACTCATTTGTGGAATATAATGAACATAAACTGGTGAACAGAAATAGATCCAGAGACATAGAAGCATCAAACAGATGGTCAAGCCTCAGGGAAGGTAGGGAAGGGGGTGTGAGTAAGAGATCAAGCAAAGGATTTGTATGCATGCATATAAGCATAACCAATGGACACAGACAGTAGCGGCAGGTGATGAGGGCATGTTCTGGGGGGTGGGAGCATCCAGGGAGAGATCAGTGGGGGAAAAAGGAAACATATGTAATACTTTGGACATAGCTGAGGAAAGAATCAATGAGCATGAAGATATGTCATTAGTAATTTCCAAAATAAAATGCAAAAAATTAAATTAAAAAAAATAATTTTTAAATTATTTATTAATTAAATGAGTGTTCCTTATGGGGTCCTTGAGAAAATACGAGAAGAAACTGTTGATAGACATTCTCCAACCTTATTGGCCCAAATGCTATCTTAGAAATAAAAAAAGAAGATATAGCCCTGGCCAGCTTAGTTCAGTGGTTAGAGTATCAGCTTGTGCACCAGAGGGTCAGGGGTTTGATTCCTGGTCAAGAGTATGTACCTGCGTTGCAGGTTCAATCCCCTATCTGGGGTCAGGGCGCATGCAGAAGGCAACCAATTGATGCATCTATCTCACATCAATGTTTTTCTTTCTTCTCCCATGCCTCCTCCCTTCCATTCTTTCTAGAAATCAATGAAAGAAGTATCCTCACTCAGGTATTATTGCTCTCTCTCTCTTAGCTGGAATAGATGTAGCTTTGAAGAGATATACAGAGAGGGTAAAAACATATTTGTGAGTACATGACACAGAGTTTATTATTGTATTAATTCTTTATTATTTTGCTAGAGGCCCAATGCATGAAATTTGTACAATAGTAGGCCTTCCTTCCTGCAGGCATCTGGAACCCAGGCTTCCCTTGCAGCACCAACTTCCTCCAGAAGGTCTTTCAGAAGGACGTTCAGTCTAATTAGCATATTACGCTTTTATTATAGATTTGCCATATAAACAACTGTAAACCTACTTTTGCCCCTGGTTGTTTTTAGTTGAGAAATAATTCACATACCATATTATTCATTCTTTTAAAATGTATAATTCAATGTGCTTTTTTTTAGTATATTCGCAAATTTGTGTAGCCATCACACTAATTCTAGAACATTTTTATCACCCCCAAAAGGACTCTGTACCCATTGAACAGTCATTCCCTTTTTTCCCTTCCCCCAGCCCTGACAACTAATCTCTTAACCACTGTCTCTTTGGATTTGCCTGTTTTGTATATTTCACATATAAATGGAATCATACAATATATGACCTTATATATACTTTTTTCTTGCATTATATTTCTTTCATTTAGCATAATGTTATCAAGGTTCATCCATGGTTCAGCATGTAATATATTTCATTCCTTTTCATGACTGAATAATATTCCATTGTATGAATACACTTAGTATTCCCATTCATCAATTGATTGCCATTTGGGTTGTTTCTACTTTTAGGCTCTTAGGAATAATGTAGCTATGAACATTTGTATACAAGTTTTTGTGTAGACATTTCTCTTGAATATATACCTAGTAATTGCTGGGTCACATGATAACTCTGTTTAACTGACAAAATGCCCGAGTCTATTTTACAAACAAAGCTTCTGACAATTATCTCTTTAAGCCTGTATAGTCCTTTTCACCCCTTAACAGAATAAAATCTGAAAATTCCTAAAGGAAGGCCCTGGACGGAGAAAAGGCCTGTCTATTTTATTCTCCTGCGATTATCTATCACTTCTTCTATTTTAGGAGGATAGTGCCATACAGTATTTCTCTTAAGGATCAAGAAAGAATTAGTCTTTCTGATTTAGTAATACTCTAATCTTTACCTTTTGGGATCAGAGTCTGCAAAATAGCTTTCTTTTAATGCTTTACATTGAGTTGAGGCTATTTTTTAAACTGTTAACTAAATTTAGCTATATTTATAGACATATATACTTTTTGCAATTTTTTAACAGATCTTCAGGATTTATTCCACAAGACTGGCCAGAACATGGATGGGGAGCTAACCTACCAGGAAATTTGGAACTTGTTAGGCTCTACCATGCCAGCATCAGAGAGTTTGAGAGAGTTTGATGCTGATGGAGATGGAAGATATTCATTCCTGGAGCTAAGAGCAGCTGTAGGTGTCTAGCCTCATTGGACATATTTAGAAATGGATATATACGCTGGGCTACCTAATAACTACTCGCATAACAAAAACACCCCTTCTATTTATCTATCAGTCCTCCAATCCTCCAAACTATTGTAGCAGACACATTGCAATCTTTTAACTTGTTTAAAAAAGCTATAAAAAGTTATTTTTTTTTAAGAAAGATCATTTTACTTATGATATTCAGAAATCTATAATTTCCTGAAACCAGTAAGATCTTAATTCTAAAATTGCTAGAATAAAAGTCAATCCCTTTTTTCTTTCTCTTTCCTTTTTTGAGGGAAGGAAACTTTATCTTTTAGAACTAGAAAATGTATATATAGTGAGAATAAGCCACCTTTTATATGTCACATAAATTTGCCTTAAATTAGTTGCACTTTATTCAGACTCAGAAAAATGTCTCTCCTTTAAAAGATAGGCTTTTTCTGTTTATAAATATTTAAAATGAAAGAAGAGTTCTGCATATTTTGTGGGAAGTTAAGAGGAATGGTTTGAAACAGGACATGAGCAAATGGCTTGTCAAAAATCGCTAATTTGATCTGGTAGCGACTAAAACTAGGCCCATGTCTCCTTCAGGCATCTCCTTTAGGTGCTACCATGGGGTTTTGCCTGGTGGCCGGAGGAATATATTTAGGGAGTAGATATTGGGGACAGCATACCCTCCAAGTGCAGGATAATAAGATCTATCTCTTTGTTTCTGACCTCTTAGCTAATTTCAACCAGTGAACCAGAGAAGTATTCTTGGCATTTTTATTATTTTTTTATCCTATTTCAGGGTTTATGGACATAAAAAGTTATCCAGTGGGGAGCTATATTTCCCTCCCTGAGTGAGCAGGATTATCACATACACACTCTAGTCTCTCTTTAAGCTGTGGCTGACTTCCACCTCTGGATAGCAGGGCTGGAGTCCCTGGCCACTGGCTCAGCCTGGCTTCCCAGGAGCTTTAGAAGAGAGCTGTGCCTCTAACTCTGACCCAGGAAACTCTGAGATTTCACATGGGGGCTAACCAAGAACCTAATATGTTCCTCTGCGGGATAAGGCCATAAAAGTTGTGAACATACTAAGTTTCTTCATGGTTATCAGGTCAGAAGTAGCTGGAAGCTTTATGTCTAGAGGATGCCAAACATAGCAGACAGGCCTGGGACATTGAGCTTTACATGATGGTAGCAAGTGTTTTCTGACCTAATGCAAGCAAGTGCAATACTTTTCCCTTTAAATACTTCTATAGCCTGGGACTATAGGACCCTGAACTGAAAGGAATTATACCTCCATGCTATCTGTGCTGTGTTGTTCTCAGAAGGAGTCTCTGAACAACACAAAAGGAAAAAAAAACTTTGCAAAACTTAACTGTGCTGTAGGCCACGTCAGGGAGAAACTAGAGAAGCTTTCGTGGACCAACTTCTTTAGTGGAACTCATTTCCATTTTAATTTTGTCCAAGTAGCCCAGTTAGCCATGGATGCAGCCAAACATCCTTAACTATTTAAGGGATGGTTTTGTTTTTGCTTTTCTTTATATGATATTCAGCTTGGTGTAGGCTAGCCTTGATTTTTTTTTTTCTAGAAATATTAAAATTTAGTTAAAGCAAGATGAAGTCTTTTCCCATGAATGTGTCTGCTTACCTCATATGGCTTATGCTTCTCTTTCTTTTAAAAAGAAAAAAAAATTTTTTCCTTGCCCATCCAAGCTATTTCACTTTCTTGGAAAGGTTAAAATATAATATAAAATTAGCACTTTGGGTAACTTGAAGAGTACTCTTCTGGCTGCCTTCCATGCCCCCCCCCCTTTTTTAATATATATACCCTAACAGATTTTGTAACAACCAAATAACACTCTAGCAATAAATTGAATTATTCTGCTATATTTGTATATACTGTACCATAAATAGTATGTCTACCTGGAAGGTATTTTTTTGAGAACTGATTTATATGAAATATACTTGGGGTTAATGTAGCTTGTCCTTTTTAGTTTCAAATTCTTATTCATAGGCATATACTTTGAGGACACCTTAACTCTTTGCTGTATGTACTTTCCTTTTGCATCAGAGAGCTATCATGGAGGAATCGTTTTTTAATTTAGTTTAGTTTAATTTATCATCCATTTTCACCTCAAGTGTGTCTGACTGGCATCATCCCTGAGCCAGGTATATAGTACCATCCTCTCCCCCTACCCAATTTGGCAGAGGTGTTCCTGCTACCCTCTCAGACTTAAGACTACCCTTGTCACACAGCCTGGGGAAGTGCCCTACCTCCCAGGCAGAACTAGGGCACCTTGAACTCCTTTGTTCTAAGTTGAGCAGATTCATTGGCCTAAGAAGAACCTCAGAAACCTATTGTTCAGTGTTTATTTGGCATTTTTTTTTTGTAAATTGTCTTAAACTATAATCAAGCCTCACCTGCCGCCTCTCAGCTCTGAAAAGAAGGTCAACAGTAGTGATGAGTTGGGTTTGGGTTTTGGTTTCAGTTACTTGGACCTTTCCACTCTGGCAGCTCTTAATGCTGCCTTTCCCAAGTTACCCAGAGCACTGCTTCTGGTCCTTTTTTTGTCTTGTACATTCTGATATAATGTTTACTTAAAGGGCAAAAGTGTTTTGCAGGAAGAAAAGAACCAAAAGAAGAGAGAATCAGCTTAGAGCTGACTGTGATGTTATCTTAAGGGCGGAGAGGGGCCTGGCACTTAGGAATGTGCCTCAAACAGCAAAGCTGAAGAACACACACTCTTCACCTACTGGCTACTGTCCCTCCCACTGGTGTTTCCTCACTTTATGTGCTGGACAGAACACGGTCGGCGCCCCCGCTGGTCTTGCCGGTCACAGTTGAAGATTCTGGCTGTGATGGGCTCATACTCATAATGGCCTGCTGTTGAGTTGTTTTTAGTGACAGCTTTCGTTTGCTACACACCTCATTGGCTTGCTTACCAACACCAGCTAGATGCAGTCCCTGCTTTCGTATCCAAACCAGAACACATTTGGGTATTCCTGAGACTTTATAGAGCGTGTATTGTTTATTATATGAACCTAACCTACCTTGTTGTTTTTTTCACATTAAGAAATGTCAGTCTACTTTGCTTTAGTGGAGCTATTTTGGTAATGTATAAGCAGTTTTGGTTCTGTTTGGGGAGTGAATTCAAGGTTTCCATGGCTTGATTTGAACTTTGCTTATTTCATATCAGTAATACAACCATCTTAATTTATCTAAATAAAACATTTCCTTTTTCTCCCATTGTGTCTATGACTAAGATCCCCATCCCTGGTTACTCAAGAAAAAACATATCTGCTTTGAAACCTAGTTTTATGGACTCCTCCCTCCTCTTGAAAGCAAAGACAGATTGTGGGCACAGTGTTCAATTGAAGACTACCTGACGAATGCAGAATTTGGACTGAAGGAGTGAAGGCTGCTTCTTTGGCATCTGTAGGTTGGGAGAGGAGAGGGGGAAGTTGTGAGTGAGCCCCTGTTCTGTATCAACCACAGAAGCTCTACCTAGGGCTGTTTTATATGTTGAGGTTCAGTGTAAGAACATGTTTAAAAGAAATGTTCCACTGTCTTAAAGGGTGGCCTTGAAATCCATTGTAAGAAAGTGGTCATATAGGGGCTGGAGCTCTTTTGCACAGAAAAATATTAGAAAAATTAGCTCTACATGGTTGCTAGATTCTAGGATTACACAACCACATTGTGAGGGGCCTTCCCCCTCATGGAAGACTACATAAAGCTTATCTCATTTGAGCATCTTACCAAATATGATAAGACTAGAAGCACAGTGCACGAAATTCATGCATGGGGCGGGAGGAGGGTCCTCTCAGCCCAGCCTGCACCCTCTCCAATCTGGGACCCCTTGGGGGATATCTGATTGCTGGTTTAAACCTGATCCTGGGGTTCAGGTCTAAACTGGCAGTCAGACATCCTACTCCTGGACCACTGGCTCTTAATCGTTCACCTACCTGCCTGCCTGGTATTCCTAACTGCTCTCCCCTGCCAACCTGATCATCCCTAACTGCTCCCCCTCCCCCCCACTGACCTGGTCGGCCCTAACTGACCCCACCCCCTCCTGCCTCATTGCTTCTTACTGCTCCCCCTGCCAATCTGGTCTCCCCCCACAACTGCCCCCCTCTATTGGCCTGGTTGCCCTCAACTGTCCCCCCTCCCGCCAGCCTTGTCACACCTCATGGCACCATGCCAACTTGGTCACCCCATGCAGCCTGCTTATTCAGTTGTTTGGTCTCCCCCAATTCTTCTCCCTCCCCGCCCCCCGCTGGCCTACTCACCCATCATTGCCCTCCCTGCCAGCCTAATCACCACCTTCCACCCCCCCCACACTGGCCTGGTTGTCCCCAACTGCACCCCCTGCCAGCCTGGTCACCTCTAACTGCCCATCCACCAGCCTGGTTGCCTACTGTTCCCACCCCCCTGGCCTGGTTGTTCCCAGCTGACCCCCCTCCCCCACTGGTTTGGTTGTCCCACACAGCCTGCTTTTTCAGTCATCTGGTTGCCCTCACTGACCCTCCTGCCAGCCTGGTTGTAAGGCAGCCATCCTGTGAGGGCATAAAGGTCAATTTGCATAACTCTATTATTTAGGATGATTTCCTTATATCCAAAGTGAAAGAAAAAATGCATATTCTGGGGTAGACCTGAGCTTTCTTACCTTTTATCTGGCACAAAATAGCTAGTATTATCTTTGGGGCTTTTTTAGGATCATTTTCAGAAAAGTACAAAATTTCTCTCCTATAGTGGATCTTACCTTTTGGAAGGGCCGTAAATCCCTTTAGGAAAGATCTTTTTTAAAAACTGGACATATTACGCCGAAACCGGTTTGGCTCAGTGGATAGAGCATTGGCTTGCCGACTGAAAGGTCCCAGGTTTGATTCCGGTCAAGGGCACGTACGTTGGTTGCGGGCACATCCCCAGTGAGGGGGGTGTAGGAGGCAACTGATTGATGATTCTCTCTCATCGATGTTTCTAATTCTCTATCCCTCTCTCTTCCTCTCTG